TTGTGTCCCATAAGGACAACGTTGAGTTATAAGTCCTCATCGGACTAAATGGCTTCTACACTGTTTCTTTTTCTTTTCTCAATTCCTGTTGGATTTCCTCATCTTCCTGGTCCTCTGTTTGTTGTTTTTGTGGTGTTTCTCGAGGTCATCTCTTTTGTGATCTGCCTCTGTGTTCTCGATTTTCTTGTGTATGTTTGTTACGACGAGAACCTCCATATCTTGCTTTTTCTGTAGGCTGTCTGCAGGGGACACAAAGTCGATGATCTCCATTGCTTGTTGCTCTTCTTTCTTTGCCTTTGGTTTTATGGCCTCCAAAAAATTTCACGCAGGCCTTGTACTGCGGCAATTTCTCATGAAATCCCATATCTGAGATGAGGCTTTTTAGGCTGTGTTTTGGATCAGGCGTTGAGAAGGTTGATTCATTGTCGTAGCGTTTCCCTGGTGTTTTGTCCGTGGGTGATTCGATTGAGAATTAATTTGGCGGTGATTGGGTCAGGTTCCCCAGTGCCCCGGCTAGTGTTGATTGTCTGGCTCGACCCGACTTTCTCGTCAGTGCCAGCTGTTTGGCGGCTTCCGGCGTTTTCTTTTTGTTATCCCGTTTTGGGGATGGTGCGGTGTTTTCCGAAGTCGATGACCCCGAGTCACCATTGAGGTTGATATGTCTCGCTCTCCGACTGCTTCTTTTGGGTTTATGCTGTCTTTGATTCCATGTGGAACTTCAATCCCCTTGTTGGTGTTCGTTTTTTCCCCTGTCGGTTTCCCGTAGCTTTCATTTTGATCCGCTATCCAATAACTCCTTTTGAGTTAACTTCACTGGTAGTCCCGTTGTGTCCTCTCGGAACAAAGTGTGTTGAGGTGCGTTAGGGTCTTCAATATCTAAAAAAAAGCAAACAGGGTCCTGTTCTCCGCGGATTTATATGCCACGTAGTCGCTGGATCGTGACGGCCGGTATGGATAGCAGATTAAAGTATTAGAACGAACGCAACTCCACCATTTTTTTTTGGTAGTCTTGGTTGTTTTCCTTTTGTTTGTACCCACGCTGTTTGTGGCGTATCTTTTTTTAGCTATTTGTTCTATTCGTTTTTTTGATATTTGGTTCAACCTGTTGCTGAATGCCCTATATCTTACATTTAATGTCTATTTTTCAAGAGCTAATTTTCGCCTAGTTTTCACTCCTGTGTTTGGTGGCTATCTTTGGTTGGTATGTGTTGAATGATTGCAGGCTCCGGGACTCTTCTTTTTTTTGTGAACTCGTCTTCTGACCACATTTGGAGGTCGTGTAATTTTTTCGCTGCATTGGAGGGTGCATCAAGTTTTTCCGATCTAACAGGCGCGTTTGGCGTTTTCCCAATTTAAATTGGTGAATTTTTTTGCTATGTTTGAAAGTGGAGTATTAGCTTCTCTGCCCATATGTGCTTCACATAGTGTGATTTTTATTATTCTGTGTGGAGTTATGCGTAACGTTTTGATAATTTCCACGACATCCGAGGCTAATTTGAACGGAGTGTTTTTCGTGTCAATTCTCATTACTCCGAGTCGCCGTATAAGTGTTTGTATCAATGTTTCTACCACCACTATGGATCTTTGATCATCGACCGGTGCGAAAAAGATATAAATATTGTTTGATTTGCAAAAAGTTCAAATTTTTTTGGCTCGGAATGTTAAAACCTGGTCGCATCTTAGCTTACGTGGTACTCCGTTATTTGATATGTAACGTTGCATAAAAATCATTGCGACGTCCGCTGTCCTGTTTGAAACTACCTTAGCTGTTGAAATTTGACCTCTTATCGATAGCAACTAGTATATATGCATCTGTATATTTGCATCTGTATTTAGTTCATCCGGTAGAGGTCTCGCAAAATCTAATTGTACCTCTTCGTTAGGTTCGACAACAGGTTTTATTTGGAATGTAGCGTCTGGATGGCTTATACGTTTTTCATTTGTCCTTCGTCTATGCCATCGTGGATCTGAGAGGCTCTCCTCCCGATAGGATTCTCCTTGCCACTTTTCTGTTCTTCGACTGGTTTTGTTACGATCTGTGTTACCTTCGTTTTCCGAAATAAATCCGCCTTCAAATCCTTAGTAATTAATTCGTTTTCGCATCTTCTGTGGGCTTGACAGTAATTGTGTGAAAATGACAACATCGGTTTTTCTCTTCGTTTAGACTGCATCCTAGAATAATCTGTGAGCGAATGAATGAGATTTTGTTGAGATATTTGACCACTTGTGCGGTGTGAAATTTTTGAATGCATTTGAGATTTGAATTGGCTTGTTAGCGTTCTTTCATTTTCCGCGCGTTTTTTGACCAGTCGATTCGGTGCTAGCTTTTGATTGGCCAGTTGGTTTAAGGTTTAGTTGTCAATCATCTCAAGATTAGTTATGAATGAGTTGATTGACGCCACATTAAATTCCTCATCATACTCACTAGGTGGTATTGCTAATCCAACCGGATTTTGGGATATCTATTCAATTAATCCCAATTTATTTTCCGCCAAATGTTTCATGTCAAAAATGAAAGGAATTAGCCGATCGATCCATCTTTTTAGTCTACTTCGACTAGTTTTTCATCTTCCGCTTGCGTTAAATTCGCTGATTAAAGCTTGGTGATCTGTAATGACGGTAAAATTATTTACTGATTTTTTTCTTCCAAAGAATATCAATCTTGACGCGTACGCGATCGGCCATCCAGGCTTTTGATGTGTTTTTTCTAGGGCTGCTTCTAGGCCGGAAGTTGGTGCGTCACAAACCTCGCGTGTTACAAGGTTTTGGTCAAAATGTTAATTGTGTGATTTCAGAAATTGATGTTTTAAATTTTGTTAAAAGTCATGTTCTGTTGTCCAATCTAGTGTTTTGTGTTTTTACGAGGGGACCTCGTGCTGCGGCAGTTTGTGCCAGGTGGGGAATGTATCTTGTGAGATGATGTATTGAGCCGGTAACTTCGCAACTGGCATAATTCCCAAATGGCATAAAAATGAAACTTTTACCAAATGGCATAAATTTCAAGTTTTCTTTGCAATTCAAACAGTGGCTATCAATATCAAATTCTAACATCTAATTTTCAGGAACGAAAGTATGATTTGGAGTTCATTGCTTCCAAACAAATGTTGAGCGACAATTGACCACAAGAAGCTTATCAATAACCGCAAGCTTATGCTTTTCGCTTTTGATTAAAAAAATTCTGCAGTTTTTTCAAGATAAAAAGTCAATCAGCATTTAAATTGACAATTTGACGACATTGTTCACGCACATTGTTCACGAAAAAGTTATTTCGATTTTCTAAATGCAACTTGCATGAAAGTTATGCCATTTGGGAAACTTTGCATTTTTATGCTATTTGGGAATTATGCCATTTGAGACGTAATCATTGAGCCCATTAAACTTTTTAATTCTTTGAATGTTTTAAGTGGAGATAGTCTTTCTATGGGTTCTGTTTTTCTTATTAGAGGTATTGTGCCCTCGCTATTTATATTATAGCCTAGCCATTCTATCTGTTTGCGTGCAAACTTACATATGTCTATAGACTTTCTGCAATGTGTTTTTGTGCACCTCCAACGATCCTTTGGTAACATTTAGTATATCATCGAGGTATGCGTATGTATTTTTGCAATTTGTTAGCTTGAGGTCGGTTGCCTTTTGAACTTCTGCCAGCATATCCGTGAGCCAGTAGAAACCTGTTTGGGATTGATAGGTTCCCGTGGCGTTTCCCTCGTTAAGGCTAAAACTGCACTGCTCTCGGGTTGGTTTATCAAAAGGGATATGCGAATAAGCATATCGTAAGTCAAGAGACGACAGTAATGTTTGTTCGTTTGTGTCAGATTCTACTGTTTGTGCCATGTTGTCTAATAGTAGTTCTATTTTCGGCATTTGATATTTGTTTTTGTGAATGAACTTGTTAATTTTCTTCGAATCTAACGACAGTTTTTTTCATTTGATCTTTTTTTCACGGTAATCACGATTGGGCTGATGAATTGTTTGTTGGGCTGAGAAAAATTAGTTAGGTTTTTTTTTGCGATTTGAGATTAACTTAACTACACTGAACTTGATAAAACGATTTTGAGCCCAATTTAGTTCACTTCAATTTGTGCGTTAATTCAAATACAATTATTTTCCAAGTTTGAGGTTTTTACCTAATTCAATCCTCATATACTAAAAAGAATCAATAGCAAACAAAGATGAAATGAAAAAATTGTTTCAAGTTCTTAAAACTTTTAGTTAACTCGTAGTGGGCATAAGGTTGTGCTACTTTTTCCCGACTGTCATTTTGTGAATACTTTTTTGTTGGGTTCTGTTTTGCGACCTCACTCATATAATGAAGTGTTCGAAATTGTTCAAGAAGAGGAAGTCTCAAATTTGAGGATTGAAATACTAAATGAGCGCGAATGTATATTGAAAACGTCAAGTGTATTGAAAACATCCTTATAGGTTCGTATACAGTTCGTATACTTTTGAGAATGTTGGCCAGCCTGTATTGAAGTTCGACTGCCGATTATGGTAGAAAGTACTCTGGGTTCAGGTGTCATTTTGAGCTGCGTGTTTGTTTTTTTTCCGCTTTTTTCTTGTCAAGCTCGCAGTCGGCAGATGATCATAATGTCCTACTTTCACAGCAACCGATTTTTATTGTTGTAAATGTACTTTTAATTCATTTTTTATCACCTCACTCTTTTTAATTCAAGTAATCAAAATAATAAGTCACGTATCCAGGTGTGGTTTTGGGTTCCGGGTATGAATTTTTCCACAGTTTTGTAAAAAAAAACATGATGAATGTGTTCAGTTTTACTTCATATTGTTTTCGCGAGCACCAAGTGTATATGAATTGTATGTGTAAATTCAAGCTCTTATCTTTCTTAAATCGATTTAACCATTTCGAAGACTCATATAAAACTAAAGCAAGTAAATATTACTCGATAAGGTTCTAATTTGGCCATAATGCGCTAATTTGGCTATAAGATATAGAGCTTCAGTGCCTTGAGTTCATATGTTTTTTGTAGCTATAGGGAAAGTTGCAACAACAGTGTTAATATTTTTCATTCTGCAGGATTGTTATGACTACATCCCGTGCCGAGTACTTCAAAATCTTTGCTGCCTCTCCCAAAACGGAGCGAGGTTTTCCAACAGTGTTGAGTGGTGATCCAAAAGGCAAGAATTTCCTATACGGATTCGGAAACACTGTTTTCATTCGGAACATCGAAGATCCCTCCCAGTGCGAATTGTACACGGAGCATGGAGCTCAAGTGAATGTTGCCAAGTATGCACCTTCGGGTTTCTATATCGCATCGGGTGACGAGAGTGGCAAGATCCGAATCTGGGACACTACACAAGCCGAACATATTTTGAAAAACGAGTTCACGCCGTATGGAGGAGCAATCAAGGACCTAGCATGGTCTCCTGACAACCAGAGAATGATCTGTGGAGGAAGTGGCAAAGACTCATATGCCAGCGTGTTTCTGTCTGATACTGGAACGACAACCGGAACTATTTCCGGTCATAGCAAGACTGTCAACTCCTGTGACTTTAAACCGACACGGCCTTTTAGAGTAGTGACAGGTAGTGAAGATATGACAGCGGTGTTGCATGAAGGTCCACCGTTCAAGGTCAAGTCAACTTTTCAAGAACATACCAACTTTGTTCAGTGTGTGAGATTTAGCCCGGGAGGTGAAGTGTTTGCAACATGCTCAGCGGACAGGAAAATTGGACTTTTTGAAGCTAAAGACGGAATTTTGAAAGGTTATTTCCAAGATGGCGAAACTGCGCATGGTGGAAGTGTATATAGTGTCTGTTTCTCGTCAGATGGAACTAAGTTGTTGAGTGTATCGGCTGATAAGACTGCCAAAATCTGGAATGTCGCAACCTTGGAGCTCCTGAGGACTTTCAAGTTTGGAACCGAAGTTGGAAGCATGCAAGTGGGATGCCTCTGGCAGAATGACCATATCATAACGCTTTCACTGGAGGGACAAATTACATATCTGGATTACGATAATGTCGAGTTGCCAAAGAAAGTGGTGAAGGGTCATAACAAGAAAATCACCAGTCTGTGTTTCGTGAAGTCCGAGGATGGGAATCACACGATGTTCTCGGCAGACTTCGTTGGAAGTGTGTACAAATGGGACCCAAATACGGGTGATTGTCAGTCAGTAACGGTTAGTCAAACTAACAGCTTGCAACTGAAAAAAATGGAGGGTTTAGGACAGTTTTTTATTGGTTGGTGTAAAGTAAGCAATAATATTAATTAACTGAATTTGATGCTTTAAATGATTTAAAAAATCAATTCAATTCGTTTCTATTTAATTTTTCAATGTAGTTGTTATTAGGGGAATTGTTTGATTATCTTCCCGTTGAGACTTAGTATAATTTATTGTTCCAGGGTGGCAATTTGAAAGCGCAGGTGGTGTCCATGGCCAACAGAGGTGGATGCACAATTGCAGTTGCCTCGTATGACGACACCGTCCGATTCATTGACAGCGCCAGTTGTTCCTTTGTAGGCGAGCCTCTCAAGTGTCCTTCTCAGCCTCAAAAAGTAGTGGCGCTGAATAGTTCTTCTGCCTTGGCAGTTGTCGGATGCCTTAATCACGTTATCATAATCAATGGACTCGATGTTGTCCATACCATGGATCTGAAGTATGGCCTAAAGAAACTTGCAATTTCGCATGATGGTCAGAAAGTGGCTCTGTCTTGTGCTGATAAGAAAGTGAGAGTTTTCAATCTTGTTGGTGAAGTTAGCTTGGAGCCTGACAAGGAAATCACCTTGATAAATGAGCCTTCGAACCTGGAGTTCTCACCTGATGGAAAATTTCTTGCTGTGATTGACTCGACTCGTGTGATCAAAGTGTACGAAGTGAAAGAGGGGGAATACGAGTTAAAGTGTGACTTGTGCTACCATTCGGCAAGAGTAGACATGCTTGCATGGCACAGTGATTCGACTCACTTGATATCCGCCGGACTGGATACCAATATCATAGTCTGGAATGTCAACAGCAAAGCCAACTTCTCCAAGCTCATGCAGACTCATCCTAAGAGTAACATTACTGGACTGGCATGGGTAGATGATGATACCATTGTATCCAGTGGCTTCGATGACTGTAATATTAAACTGTGGAAGCCTGAGTTGCTGTGAGAAAAAAAATCAAATCCATACTGAACTTAATCAAACTTCATCGAAAATATCTGCCTCTGCTATTTTGAAAAGAGTTTGAGCTAAATCCTAAAACAGGTCAATGAAATCTGATGACAACGGCTACATTGCAGCGGTCTATTGTTACCTCAAAATTTAAATTGTACAGACTGAAATGGTATTATTATTATTGTATTAGAGGATGCTTTGACATCGATTTATCATTATGATGCGTTTGATATGGTAGATGAATGAACGAATTGGCTACTGTTGGTGTGATTGACTGAAAAGGCGTTCAAATATTTATATTGTGAACGGTTTTCAATAACTCAAATTGATTTTTTATGCTTTCATTATTACGCTGAGCACTTTTGAGACCAGCTGCCAAGCTATCGTTCGCTGGCAAGTTTTGTACATGAAGGCTTCTTGAAGTTATAAATAACATTGCTTTGATTTTGCTATTCATAAGCTGCTGTACATAAATATTTGTCATCATAGATTTTGACAGAAACCGAATCAATTTATAGAAATGTTTTTATACTTCCTGAATCAACTTTCAAATTTTGCCTGGAAAGCCATTAATAAATCTATTTAATTCAATGTGTATTTAATGATTTGTTATCTTCCGGCTTCCTGATTTTCCCATCAAACAAGGTCCTTATCTTAGAAGTCAAATTTGTTGAGTGGATAAATAGTGAACTGAAACAAACAAATGCGATAGCTTGATTTTTAGTCAACAAATGTGAGCTGTACATAAGGACTGAAACCTGGCCAAGTTATTTTCTGATCACAATGACATCATATCTCAAGTCCAGAATAGGGTTCCTCCCTTCTCTGGGTTATAACCTGGTGCTGGAGAAGCTCGGACATCGTGTATGGTACCACGAAATCTGCCCACATGTAGTGCTAGGGGCCATCCCTCTCTGGTCTTCAGTGGACGATCTGGTGCAGAATGTGGGAGTGAAAGCGGTTCTCTCTATGAACGAGAAGTTTGAGCTCAAGTATCTTACTCCCACAGATGAACAGTGGCTGTCGATGGGAGTTGTGCAGTTGAATTTGCCAGTGGTGGATTTTGTGGGGTCCCCCACTCGGCAGCAGATTCACCAGGGCGTCCAATTCATCCATGACAATGTGTCTAAACAGTGGTAAGAGCAAACATCACTCCATAGTCTTGTACTGAAGCCTTTCCAATCATATGCCCAATTCGGTCCATCATCGTCAATGAAAATCATCGCAATTGAGATAAGTTCTCGGTGTACAGATAAGAACTTTTTTCCGAAAAAAATCTTTATTAATGAGATGTAGAAAAATATAATGCATGATTTGGGATCGAGTACAGATATTATCGGTTAGAGTTGTGACGCTTTTGTAAATTGGAGTGTTTTTAGATATTGGCGATGTGCACTAAAAGTTTCATTGCTTGAAAGCTGACATCCCAACTGGAAAAACAAATGATTTTTGATTTGATAATGCGATTGTTTTGAATAGTCTTTATGAGTGTCCTTTTTAAATTCGCAACTCGTGCAGTTGTAAATTGTCTGACTTGTATTTAGTACCGTTTATATCCACTGTAAAGCGGGACGCAGTCGAAGTGCAACAATGTTGGCCTGCTACCTCCTACGTCACTGGCAACTCACGCCACAAGAAGCCACAGCATTCCTGATAGAGAAAAGAAGTCACGTCGTGTTTGGGGACACCAACTTGCGCACCATCCAACATTACTACGATTACTTAAAAACAAACAAGATTGTACAAAATGAAAACTGCTGAAAATCATTATTGTGTTTGTCTTCACGTTGTTAGACTGCAAAATATTTGTTTTTAAATTAGTCTTCTAGATTCGAAATTCCAGGAAATTGAAGTGATGTCATTTTATGCTAGTTGAATTATTTTCTGATATAGATAAGTTTTTCTGGAAACCTGTTTTCCTCCGACACAGTTACTCATCGGTTTGTGCATATACATCCCAACCAAAAGTGTTGGAAAAAGGTAAAAGCAATAGTGACCAACAAGAATTATAGGGTAATACAAAGTAAGAATTTTTGATTGATTGTTTGAACTGATTACATAGTGGTCACTGGGTCATATCAACAACAACAACTCTTGGTTATGTGAATGATAATACAGTAGAAAAAACAAAAGACGTAAAGGATGATTTAAAAATTAAGAGTTCTGGTTGATTTTTTGTTGTTATTTACAGAAGCATTCTCATCTTCTAAACGTTCTCATCTTGAAACCAAATTGTGTAAAAATGTTGTGTTCAATTTCAGTATGTTTTCTTACACAAGCAAAGCATAGTGTCGTATTACGAAATCCTCATTTTCGAACCCAAATCGCAAATACAAGAGCTCATTTAGTAGCACTTTTGCAGCAATTGCATTTTATCTGGTTTTACTTTTGTTGAATTAGCATGATATTTTTGAATCTGTTTTTTTTTTTGGATATTGTTTGATGCTTATTTTAGCTCCACTTGGAAAAGTGAAAATAATAAAAGTTCTAAAATTTGTCCCAATCGAAGGTACAAGTGTGATAGAAGGGTGGCTGTAAAAACCAAGTGTTATAGAGTGGTCCCAAAACAGTAACATGATCCCTAATCTAAATGAGGTCCTCAACATTTTCAATTTATTGTTTCGGCGATGTCAAATGAAGCATCGAATAAGCTAGCGTAAATGAGACAGGTTAATAAGGTTCGTGAAAGTATTAGAAAGGAACGAGTGATTTGCTTAATTGCTGTCTTTGCTTGGAATTAGTTTTATTTGGGGCCTTCTGTCACACGCACTTGGTGTTTAAAGGGATCCAATTTTGCTTACAGAAAGAAAAGAATAAATGCCGTAAATTCAAGTTATTTCGAAAAGCAATTTATTTCGATCTATTAATTCATTTTCTCAATTTTGGTTAATTTTTCACAAATCACCAATCAGAAAAAGAACTTGCACTAGCTTTGCAGAGATGGAATGTTTTCTATTGAATTTCAAAATTGAATTAATTTTTTTGTTTAAAACCAGTGTTTGTTTGGTTTCTTGGAATTCATTAGCTTTTTAACTTTATGCGGAGTATTCATTGCTACAATTAAGATCAATAAGTGTAGTCTTCTTTTTTGTAATCGGTAGAATATTTTTTTCCTGCAAACAAGATATGTTCTTCGAAGTCTTGCTTAAAAGAGTTTCAAAGGAGTGTTCTATTTCTTTCAATTAAAGATGACTTCTTTAACTGCTTATACCAATTGTATTTCTTTTGTATCAATCCTATGACAGGCAGAGAAGTTACGTTACTTGTTTATTGTTCCGACCATTATTAAGCAAGTGTTTTGCAATCGGGTGCAAGACTTTTTCCCGTAAATAACTTAAGGCACAAGGATCTCCACTTGTAGAGGATCTCTTCTGACATGCTTAATTTCTTGAAAATGCAAATAAAGGTATTAAGTAGTAAATAAGTAGTTACTTAAGTATTAATTATTGCATGCCCGTTTTAGGTTGTAATTATCTTTTCAAAAAAATCAAATCGAAATTTTTTGTCGGGCTCGTGGTTTTCGTCCTAGTTCTTGTCGGTTCGTTTTCCGTTTTTTGAAAAGCCAGTGTTTTACCTGGCAAGGTTTTTACTAGTTACTTTTTAAAGCATGGGTTTTGTTGCAATTTAAACAGGTTTTACTTTAACTGGAACTTCCCAAATTTGTAAATTTACCATGTCTGATTTTGTGTTTTTTTCATTCTTTCGTTTTTTTATATATATTCAAAGAGTTTTTTCATGTTATATTGACTAAGTCAACGTATTATGCGTAATTTTGAGGTCAAAATATATCGGTTTGGGATTATGTGTTTCAGTTTGGATGGGTCGTAAAAACTTAAATTTTATGAATTTCTTATGACAAGTTTTGTTGTCACCTGTATTGCGGCTCGATAATTGATTTCCATTTAAGGGCTGTTGAAGTAACTTTTTTCAATCTTTCAGAAATTTGTTTTTACTTCTGTTTTTTTTTTCAATCGCTACTTTGTAGCGCAATGAATTTTGCATCGCAAGTGTTGCGAAGCTCAGCTTCGGCTCTGTGTTAAATTATCACAAAAGGGTCAAACAAAAATTTTTCGTGAAGTTCAAAGAGCTTTAAGGGCACAATATTTTTCTTTAAAATTCGCAAGCTTTTTTTCTGTCTGTTTTGTTTCGTTTCAATTTTTCAAAAAATTAGTTTTTTTTTTCTGTTTCCTTTCGTTTAAAACTCATTTTTAATTGTCTGTTGGCAATGTTTGATTGACATCACATCTTTTGAGGCATGAAACAATGGGATTTTTTTTCTAAGCTTGCCGATGAATTAGGGCATTTTTCGAAAAGTTTCGATATCTCCTAAGCTATAGAAATTTGAAACTCCATGTTTTTGCGGTAGATTTGCAACCCTAAAATTGATCTGGCAGTTTGAAAAAAGGGAGGATTTTAGTATTCTGGTGTTTGAATTTTTTAAATTTTTTTTGTTTTCGACGCAAAATTAGGAACTACAAATTAGCATCGGATTGATTCGAGTGATATATCATGTAAAATTTTCAGTCGTGATTCGACAGTACAAAAGGTATCACTATTAATCATCGGAATGGGTAGAGTGATATATCATATTAAAGACCTTAAGTCGTGATTAAAATGACATCTCAAGTTTTTCAAAAGTTGTCCATTATCGAGAAAAACAGATTAAAAATTTGGGATTTTTAGTCTTAATTCGAGCGAATAAAGCGAGCGAGCAGGCTTGATAGCTTAGAATTAATTTAATCTTTATTAATTAATTAAGTTGCTCAATTTAAGCCGTAAAAACTTGGTAAAAATTGAACAACTCGTTTTTTCTTCAAGAAATGTTGTCTATTTTGCTAATTTTACTATGACTTTCGAATATGCTTCAGCTCGAGTTTTTCGTTCAGATCTGTTTATGACACCACGCAAAAACGGTACTCAATTGAAAACACAGTAACCGGCTATCCTTAGTTAAGTTTTCAGTTTTTTTCGGCTTTATGGCTTTCCAAGAAATTTGATTGGCTAATTTTGTTTTTAGTGTCAATTTCTTAGAAAATTTCTTATGTTTTCTTTATATGATGATTTTGAAATTGTGAGTTAATTTAATTGGTTATTTCTGATAATGAATTTGATTTTTCCTGCTTTTTCTTAAATGGCTGGTGTTGGGGATGGTTTTGTCATTTGTTCGTTGATGAATTTTTAGCTAGTTAGAGAAAGGGTCCTGGCTTTTTTAGGAAATTTTTTATGGAAAGTATGAATTATACCGCAGCTGAACGTCTTTTCTAAAGCATTCTTACATAACTTTTTGTCTTCCCGTTTACTCGCTTATTTGCTTCTATCAAAAGTGTTCCGTATCAAAATGTTCGATGCAATCTATCATTACTGTAAGCTTCTGTTTCCCTTTTTATCAATGTTTTTCATAAAGTCAAAATGGTTGATGCGTCTCGAACTCTGACCCTCTCGCACAGCCATCTGCTACTCTTATTAAATTTTGAAAAATTAGGATTGTTTTTCTCTTAAATTAGGTTTTCACAAGTTGGCTAATTTGTGATATCGTGAATGGCGCTTTTTTGAAAGAAAAGTATTACGCATCTGCTCTGAACTTGGCTCAGCATGACCATTGATGGAAGACGTTAAAACACCTGAAACGATGTAATCAATTGGTTGATTCAGTTTGAGGTTTGAAAATAAGCATGGAGGAATGTGTTTTCAGCTTATTTTTCAATCAATTTCACAAGTTTGTTGAAGTTTCTCGAAATAACAAAACTATCTTTGCGTTATTTAAGAGTGAATCAATTAATTCGCCGTCGCTCTGCATCTGATATTTTTTGTGGTACTTGATTTTGTGTAGAAAACAATCACATCCGAGTTCAAAATTAGGTGCTGATTTGAGAGGCTCAAGATGCAAGAGAAAGAAACCGCACATGATCAAAGAGTTTTTGATACTAATTAAGAGTCGATGAACGTAGTTCAGACTCTTAAATAGATCGCGATGATTTTTTTCAGGAAAAGTCTGTAAGTTTGTTCTGGGTCAATTTATTTTTTCGCGGTTTGACTTTTAATTTCTTTTCAAGTTCAGTTCATTTTGCTTGTTAAGAGGAGGGAAAAAAACCACTATCGAACAGCGAAAACGTAAAGGGCAAAAACTTGACCGAATTCTAATTTTGAATTTTGAGTTCAATTATCAGATTTCCCAGCGGAACCAAATTTTTACCTGGTGATCCAGTTTTCTCAAATTGGGTTAATTATATCAAAAAATGTCAATCGTGAATTGTTCTAGAATTTCAATGAGTTTTAGGGCTATCGATTTTTTCTTGGAAATTCGGAAGACTTTTTCAAAATAAAACAAGTCAGTTTTTTTCTATTTAATTGCGTTATTGATTATTTTCCAACTCTGGTTCATATATATTTTTTTTCAGTTTCATTTTATTAAGTTTTTTTTACTTACGCTAGCTCTCAAATACAACCGAGTAGCACTCGAACGGTTTAGACCAATATTTACGAGAAACACAGCTAAAACTGAAAATTTTCTGAACGAATTTTGCTGGATTTTTTTATAGCTCCATATCATGCGGTTGTAAGTTCATAAGCTTAGCCGACGGCTTGTATTTCCCAAATCTTTAAACGATGTCATTTTTCTGTATTGTCTGTAAAAGGATTCTCTAAAATGCGGTTATAAGTTCATAAGCTTAGCCGACGGCTTGTATTTCCCAAATCTTTAATCGATGTCATTTTTCTGTATTGTCTGTAAAATGATTCTCTAAAATGCGGTTGTGAGTTCATAAGCTTAGCCGACGGCTTGTATTTCCCAAATCTTTAAACGATGTCATTTTTCTGTATTGTCTGTAAAATGGTGTTCTAAAATGCGGTTGTAAGTTCATAAGCTTAGCCGACGACTTGTATTTCCCAAATCTTTAAACGATGTCATTTTTCTGTATTGTCTGTAAAATGATTCTCTAAAATGCGGTTGTGAGTTCATAAGCTTAGCCGACGGCTTGTATTTCCCAAATCTTTAAACGATGTCATTTTTCTGTATTGTCTGTAAAATGGTGTTCTTAAATGCGGTTGTAAGTTCATAAGCTTAGCCGACGACTTGTATTTCCCAAATCTTTAAACGATGTCATTTTTCTGTATTGTCTGTAAAATGATTCTCTAAAATGCGGTTGTGAGTTTATAAGCTTAGCCGACGGCTTGTATTTCCCAAATCTTTAAATGAAGTCATTTTTCTGTATTGTCTGTAAAATGATTCTCTAACATGCGGTTGTAAGTTCATAATCTTAGCCGACGGCTTGATTTTCCCGAATCTTTAAACGAAGTCATTTTTCTGTATTGTCTGTAAAAAAAAATTAACTTTCAAAACAAAAAAAAATGAAAATTATCCAAAAAGTTGCCCTTTCGGATAATTTTCATTTTTTTGTTTTGAAAGTTAATTTTTTCGTTTCTGCATGATGTTTCTATAGGGTTTTTCACTTATATATGACGTAGTGTTTTTTCCAGGAAAAACTCCTTAATTTGATCGCCCTCAAATTGTGTTTTGAAGGTTTGACTTTTGATTTCATTGTAAGTTCAAAGCAAATTCATTTGCTACAAGTAATGAAATGTTCGCTCTGTATTTCACTTTTTTTCAATTCAGCTCAAAATTAAAAGTGTTCAATTGGTTAATTTTTGGCAATTGTGCTTGAAAAGCGAGCATGGCACAGATACAAGGATTTGAGACACTTAATCTCAAGGACGGGGTTTTGACTCAGGTACATACCAAGTCTTATTTGTAGCTTTGGCAATTAAATAGCATCTATTGCATCTGCTTCTTTGTTTGCAGTTTGAAAAGGGAACATCGCGCAGATACTAGGACGTGAGACTCTTAATATCCAGGTCTGGGGTTCAAATGCAACATTAATCAAAATTTTAAGATTATTTTTACCTTTTCTTGTCGTATTCACTTTTAAAAATCTTTTTAGAGCTACTTTTTGCAGTTTTATAGCTTGTGTTAGCTTCGCTTATGTGCTCAATGTTAAGATTTTCTTGTCGAATAAAAAATGCCTTTTGGTTTATTTTCGATAATTGGGCTAGTTTTATGAATAAAAAAGGATGATCTCCAAAGATTCGAAATTTTCGAAAAAAATTTCAATCGTTTTTTTTTTCGGTTTTCATGAGTACAGTGACAGTTATACAATTTTCTGTTAGCTGGGTTTGTTTGATTCTGTCACTACTAAGGAACATCAATAAGGTCTTGAATTAGTTTCATAGAACAAGTGTTGAAGTATGAAACTATACGGAATCGTTTCGGTAAATATTCTGAAATGTTCATCAGTTGGAAGTTTTTAAAAATTATTTTACTTCTTGCTTAGTGATAAAAAAATAAGTGATAGCAAAAATGTTAGCTTCATTTTCTTTACACATCCGAGTCTCATCTTTATTTGTAAGTTGATCCTTCGCCTACGTAGAGTTTGCCAGAAGATTTTTTTAAACTATGTGTAATACGTTTTGGAACGTGAGTTTTAGTGCTATATTCAATTTTTTTGAAATATAGCTATTTCGTAATTTTGTGACGTTTTTTTTTCGATCGTTAGCGTACGTTTTGTTTTGAGCATGCAATTCTACGCTTGGATTCTGTTAGAATCGGGTTATCGACTGTGCACCTAAATTTTCAGATGAGTTTGTTCTTTAAAACGGTTACAAAAGTCAGTGCGAATGCAGCGCGTTGTGGTGTTTTGGTGAACAGGCGATTGCCTACACGATGTGTATTTTGCGAGCGGCTTCTCACCTCTCAACCTAAAGCAGAAGCAGACCCTCACAGTAAAAAGGAAACGCTACAAAATGATAAAGACGCGAATGAAATGAAAAAACAGAATGTGGAGATGGAAAATATTCGCAAATCCTTGGAAGAAGATTCCAGAGTTGACATCATAGAACAGGATTACAAGAAAGTGATATCGATTCAAGATATCCCGAAACACGAGCTACCAGTCAAGGATATTATAGGTATGTACTCATGAGACGGGTAGCCTGGTAGCAATCAAAAATGTCTCCATGGTGTGTGCTTTATAAATCTACGTGGAATCTATTGGGCAGCAATGTTTGTTGAAAGAAGCAAATGAACGGATGAATGAAATACAAGAGTGAAGACTTTTCATGTAGATAGAAAATTGATGTGAGTGTATGTGTACCGTAAGAAACAGCTTTCACGGCACTCAATTTGTGGGGTAGTTTTAGCTATTTATTCTCTAACAGATGATTTTAACTTTCTTTAGCTATTCGACTGAAGTTAGGGAATTGTTTGCTTCAAGTTAAATATTTGCTTCATCGTTTTTGTATGTTGATGATGTCAGGAAAGACTCCGACAGTGTGGTGGGACACTGAGATGAACAGACCTTGGATCAGAGAGAGACTGTGGCAGCAGGACCCCATAATAGAACAATTGCAACCCATGGCACTGGGCAAGCTCAGGAAGCCAAAGTGAGTGAGAAATATTCCAGTCCGGCTGGCTAACAATTGAAAACAGAACTTCAATAGGAGGATAACCAAACCTTTTGATTGATAACAGTCAGTAGATGGAACAGCTTGGGTATAATGGCTAATTTTGAGGCAAATTACCATGTACGAGGATATAATTTGGTTCGCTAGAAATGCGGGTATTATTATTTGAAACTCCAAGAAGAAATTATAAAAACCTGTTTATTGTTTTGTGGTCCCATAGTATAAATTTATTGTTCCAACCATTGAAAGTGGGGAGGAATTTTGTATTCGGGTGTGTTTTAGTTTTTGTTGTTTTCCACCCAAAATCAGGTACCACACACTGGTTTGAGTGATATATCATATTAAAGCCCTTTTAGACGTGATTCAAACCACATTAAAAAATCTCCAAAATGTTTTCCCAGTGTCGAGAAAAACCGGTTTGAAATTTTTGAATTTTTTTGTCTTCATTCGAGCAAATAAAGCAAGCAAGTAGGTCTTACATGCTGAATTATACCTAATTTAAGACCTTAAAACTTACTTTTCATTACAACATTTTTTCTCCAATTTGCCTATATTACTATGACTGCCTAATATGCCTAAAATATATTTTAACAGATTCTTTTATCACCAAGTAGAAAAACTACACTAATTTGGAAAAAAAACTTTCTGAACAGTAGTTTTCTAAAAGACTACGTTCGGAACGTTCTGTGCTACTTGCAGAGTAACCGGCTATCCTAGTTTAGGTTTAGATTGAGGTTAATCAGTTGTTGTTTATTTTTAGACTGCGCACAGTTAAAAAGGCTCACATCCGAACACTTGACCAGCAATTTGTAAACGCGTACGAAACTATAGGCGCCAACAAAGTGGCGTTTGAGTCTGTAGTCAGCGAGTTCCGAAGAACAAGTGTGAGAGGCTGGGGATTTCTAGAGTTCCAGTACGTTGCAATGGAATACATGAAGGCTTTTAATGTCGATAAGGATGTGGATTGTTATAATCAACTGTTGAATATGTACCCGAGGGGACCATTGAGAATAGCAAATTACTTCTCAGAAGCGATGCACCATGGTAAGTTTGAATAACCGTGCCATCCCACGCCCCCCCAAAAAAAAACGATTAAGAGGAGAGAACATACTAATTTTTCACAACATAACCTTGAATGATGTTTAATCACCTGAATAACATTAATTGGTATCGAAACATAATTAAAACATCGATTTGAATAATTTGTCGCCCATCAAAATACAAATTGCTGTACAAAAATTTTCAATTTAATTAGATTTTGCTCGTTTGTATGAAATTCATATTTCATACAGAGTTAATTTTCAGAACTAAAACATGCTTGGTGAGTAGCTTCTACACGAGGTCACTTAGGGTGGGGGCTTGGAGATAGAGATTGCACAGTTGATCCGTTTTTCCATTGATCTCAAGGGTTTAATTAATTCACTTTTCTTGTCTCGACCTATTTGGCACTTTTTCAGTGCGCATTTGCCAGTTTTCTACGCCATCAGTTTGATGAGCATCATCCTTATCATTTGTTAATTAATAAACTGTTCCTGTTACTCAAGCGTGTTGAGTTACACAATCAACTGTGATGACATTGTTTGAAAAGGTGACATTCAGTTGTTTTCCAAATGTAGTGAAGTTATCACTTCTTCGAAGGTATCAGGCAGCACACCAATCTTGAGCTCTCATTCTAATAAGGCTCTTTCGGAGAAGAGGCAAGTTTAGTTGGTTGGCATTAATCCATCTAGTACCATTTTGTAATAATTCAAGCTTAAGTAGCAGATCTTTGCGAACACCAAAACATAATAAGTCGCAGTATTCATTACGAGAGAGTATCAATTGAACACGAAGAGTAATACGTGCATCGAAGGTTAGGTTTTTGTTCCGACTTTCGATACGAAAGTGACGGAATATTTGTGCTCGGGGTGGGTTTTTTTTTTTCTTCAGACAAATTTCGACTTTTTAACTAGCCATTTTCGACAGAATTTTTTAATATCATTCAAAAGGTATTGTTGTCCTGAGCTTAAATTTGAAAAGATATTTCACCTGTGATCATTTTTCGTAAAGTTATGAGGGTTTAAAGATTGCCATTTTGGTCAATTTGGGACAATTAACGCGCGATATATTTCGCGCTATTAACGCGTAAGCGGAGATTTAATCCGTCTTTTAAATCGTTCCACATTGGTTGAAAGAAGCTTTTTTGCCATAATTGTTTTGTTACAATGAACGAAATCTATTCTTTTAAACTTAATATGGCGTGTGGGGGGCTGATTTCATAAAAAATTTCAAATTTTAGAAAAAAAATGTTCATTTTTTTTTATATTTAATTTTTTTATGTTACTACTGCTCGATAAAACTGAAACGGCATTCGGAACATTCAGGGCTTTGCCCTGATACGAGCAGTCTTGTTTATATAGCTGTTCAGCTTTCTGAGGTTAAAGTAGCCAACAAGCACACAGCATTGATTTGCTTTTCAAAAGAAAACTTGGCTTCAAATTTGAACTCCAATTGCTCGTTCGATTATAGAGTTTGGCTGTAGAAGTTTTTGATCTAATTTTATATATCAGGTTCAACAGATTTAGAAGTTAGATTAAGCACGACTGATAATTCTGTCTTGGAGGAATTAATAGAAAGGCACACCTTAGGAAACCCAAGTAAGATATCAGGTAGAGCAATGTTGATTTAACATCTATCTAAAATGTCATCAACTTCAAAATAAATCAGAGTGTCATCAGCATGGAGCTGGTAGCTTAAGTTATGAAAAGCAAAGGGTCTCCCAATTGAAGTATGTAAGTACACCAAAGAACAGGGCCCAAAAGTGGTCCCTGCGGTAACCCCTTACCCCTATTAGAATGCACCTCGTCAACTTAAACAACCTGTTTTTGATCCAATAAATAATATTGAATCATTCTCAGTGCTCATCTTTCAGTCTTGAGCCGACGTTTCATCATGGTAAGCAGAGTTTAATGGCAAACAGTGTCAAACGCAGAGGAACGATGCGAAGGTAGCAAACAGACATTTTTTTTAACTTTCTCTCATCGAACAGACGTTGCAGAGGATTTCAATCAAAGCTGTTTCAGTTGAGAAATCTTTTCGATAGACAGACTGTTTCGGGTCCCAAGCATGCCAATATTCTGAATAATTGACTTAGCCATCGACTAAATGTCGTTCATTTAACTTTGATAAGAAAGTGAGTTGAGTAACATGTCTATAGCAGTTAAGGTTTTCCTTACCAGCATTCATTCTTAAGTAAGGGGGTAATAATACCTGTTTCGAACATGTCTGTGAAAAAGTCATAACTAGTGCAGCGATTGAACAATTCCAGGAAACACAACTTCCATGAATATGAACAACTTGTCATACTTTCTTATGGCAAACTATTACAAGGTTGTTCAAACCTTCAAGCGATAACAGATTGAATGACTCCACTCTACAATTATTATCTAAATGTAGCTTTTTAATCAATACTGCAGATTCCTTTTCAGAAAGTTTGGAATCTGCCGAGGTTTTTGATGAGATATTTTTGATCTTCTCTATGAAGAAGTTATTAAAATCTTTTCTTAATTTTAATCTGTTCTTCCTGGATGGTGAAATTGATACTTTGGAATTAACAAGGAAGGTATCAACATCCCGGTGTCTCGGACTGGCTTTTCAGTATTGAACAAGTAGACAAGTCAAAGTTGTCTTTTTGCAGCATATTTCGCCTTGCAAACATTGAGATTACGTTGGGGAAAAGAATGTGAATTCAGACACATATAAAAAAAGTTTGAAATGGTAAAAATAAGCACCAGAGTCATATTAAAAGCAACATTTTAAATGGAGATTAAAACAGTTTGAACTTGTTTATCGCCGGAAGTCGGCGCCAATCGGGTCATCGACTTCCACCACCAGAGTCTCGCGGACACAAGCTGCAGTGCCCCGCTGAACAGCAATCCCAAGTCTCTGCCGCAGAAAAAGAGTCGCTCTGTTGTCCCCGGTAGCCTGTGTTATTCTCTTGCCCAGGCTAGTGACGAAACGCAGCGTATCGGTTCCCAGTCCTCCAAGGGTTTCAATTGCAACTGGTTGGAAGATGTGAGACTCAGATATTGATTCGTATTTTGACCGTTTACGGGTCTCGGCCGCATCTGCCACAGTTGGTCCCTCTTTACCAGCGAGTTGCGTGTAAGAGAAGGCTAGCCTATGGACACATGTAAAGTCCCATGCCAACGCTCGCCCATGTGACCATTGCACCAGTGTCAGTCCGTCGGGTCTCTTGCGGTCAGACCGGAATAGTCCTTGCGGCTCGAGTGTCGATGGAATATTGGCTTGGATGAACGCTCTATGAATGATGTGATTGCCCATAGAGTGTCAGGCATGAACTGATCTACTCTTTTTGCAAACTAACGCATGTTTGCCGTAGGAATCGACTATATCGCCACAAGAGCACTTGTGTGGTGTACAGACTGGTGCGCCAAGTCGAAATCCAATGGCAATGCGAAATTCATCATCACTAAGTTGGAGTGCGAGTGATCGTGAAGGTAGTGCGTTGAGCCAGTCAGCAGCTCCGGGACACATTAATCCATTCAAGCGGTTACTGTCTCCTGAATCCTTGAGAAGTTCGGCCTGTTGAAGCATCATTGGTAGTGACCACTTTTTTTGCTTATATTTGCGTTCTGGCAAAGGCACGTCGGTGCTCACGTTGTTTCGCCAACGTTGGATAGCATCTTGAATTAGTGATTCTGTAGTGGGTTCGCTAGCATATATGGTATTACAAATGTCGAGAGTGCTGAATACAGATGACGCATATGCTGCAATGGCGAGTTTGGGTACCTGCATAATTCCCATTCCGCCCAGCTTGCAAGGCAGTGTCATGAGCTCCCATCGGGGATCGTCAATCATCACATTGAAAATAGCCTGCAATGTATTTCGAATGCACTCGTCAAATCGGTGTAAGGAAGTAGTTTTAAGGAAAAGAGTTGAGGTTCGCAGTATGTACATCAGTTTCGGGATATAAAAGCAGTTTTTTAAAAGAAAGAAAGCAACATGGGAAGGTAGGGATCGCAATCGACTGCACATTCGACTGAGTTCATCAAGTTTCTCATTAACAACGGCTTCTTGTGCGTTTTCGCCGATAGGAGCACCTAAGAGGACTAAATCTGTGGGTTCAGTGATGGTAATATGAAAAACCGCCAGGAAAGATTGGATAATCGAATCCCTCTCTCGTGCATCATCACAGAAAACGATGAGTTCGGACTTGTTTTTCAGGTTCAATTCCATTCCAATCTTGACCCCTTCGGTCATCACCATCTCGAGGTCTTTGAGGACGTTTTGCCACATGACATCACCAATGCTTATGTCGTCCACATAGCCGGATTTGAAATTTGAGATCAAGGTCTGCAGAATGTTGTTGATTGCCAGGCAGAATAAAAAGACGGCTAATGGGTCGCCTTGTTGTGCTCCCTCTGATGAGTCTATCAAAAATTCGCCAAACGATAGATACGTAGTTTCGCTAAAGCACAGGTCGAAAAAACTACTGAGCTCTGGCATATGTTCGTGTAGTTTCTCGGCTACAACGTCTCTTCGTATCGAATTGAAAGCGTTCTTGAAATCCAGTTTGAGCAGCACAGTTCCATTACTAGCGTCTTCAACGAACTTACGCAGCGCATGTGCAGCAGCTTCAGCTCCGCCCATGACACCACATCCCAACTGATGTGGGAGAAACAAGTTGGTGTGGCGTTTGGCAGCAATCTTCGCAGCACACTTGGCAGTCAGTCTACGGAGAACGTCCCCAGAAGCTATCGGTCTAATACCACCTTCTTTCTTCGCTAAAGCGCATAGGTTCGCTCCGGCGATAATCGGCTTTATATTTCTGGGCACGTTACCGGCAAGAAGTAAATTGCAAAATGTGGTCAGAGTGCGGAGAAATTGTTCAATGTCTTCACCTTTTCCCAAGCAATCCTTCAGGTGCTGGGGTCTCAGCCCAGTTATTCCAGCGGCTGACCCAGGTTGAAAAGACATCACCCCTTTCCGAATATCATCCACAGTCAATGAGAGAGGGTCACAGTTGGCGTCCGGGAAAAGACGTCTATCAGACGGTGCAGGTAGTTGTTTTTCCTGTAACAGCTTCAATGTTGTTTCGTCATTACCAGCTATTCCGCAGTCGGATGTTAAAAGACGCACTGAGCCTCTGATGTCGCCTTCGTCAATCTTGGAGCAAACTGCTCGCGCGAGTTTCTCATTTGCAGATGTCTTACTTGGTTTCTTCTGTTTCTTAGTTAATTCGATCACATTCACGCAGTTTGGAAAACTTTTCGATTTGACTGTTGACAATCTGACCCAGGGACTTCCTTCTGCCGGACCCTCCTCTGTCTGGTTGTCGCAAGCAATGACCAGGAAGTGTGAATAGCTTGATCCATAACGCTTCATCGCTGGGATGTTCGACGATATCGTTGAGAGTTTTGCAGAGAATGTCACGGAATTGTCGTCGACTTGATTTCGGGACGCATTTGAGTATACGCGGCTTACTTGACAGGTACTTCTGCAGCAACTGCTGGGCGTCCACCAAGTGAAATCCGATATCTGCATCATCTTCGGATAGTTGGAGGTCCGCCATGGCTTGGGTGAGTCCACTTCTGATATCTTCCGCTCCAAAACCTCGTATCACCTCGTCTCCTCGCCCAAGTCTCCATCATTTCCGTCGACCGTCGTGTTATCGGTAGAAGGGTCTTGGATATCAGTGCACCCGCAATGCCAGGGATGTCCGGACCAGCGTTTGATCCCCGCGATCGTCATATCGGTGCATTTTTGATGAATCCAGAAAAGGCAATCAGCACATTGTATCGAATATACCCTCTTGGAAACGGTCTTCTTGCAGCGTATGCATGGATAGTTCGTCACTCGTGTCATGTGTCTGCTTGTTGTGATTGCTGCATGGGTGTTAGCTCGGACCTGGATCGGCCATAAATCTGAATCTATTTAATAAGTTTATCACAACAATTAGGCTAATTACGTTTATACGCAGGCTTATTTTAGCGCTAGTGTTGTAGAACGAGTTAACCGTCAACTTTTCTCCAACCTCACTCCACTTTTATGATTCTCAATTCTGTAGATCAATATCATTGGGACGCCATGTATTATCATGTGTTCCATCCGGTTTATTAGAGGGCCTGGTATTTACTCAGATATGTAAACTCTATAAGCAGCTAGAGATGCACCGGAATTCCGGCTGATTTTACAGTGAATTCCGGTTCTGGAAACCGGTTAAAAAAATACCGGAAAATACCGGAATTTTGTGCTCAATTTTACTATCATTTCCAATCAAAAAAAAACGAACTTTGAAACATTTGAATTTCTGATTCAAAAGTGGAATGTTATCATGGAGTAAAACCAATTTTGGCGAAAACTGCGGGGTCAGTCTGTTCCGTTTAAGGGAGATGACGTTGCTGGATGAGCTGAACAGCCTTTCACTTCTTACGGAGGTAGGAGAAGCCGATAAGTATGCCATGCCGGGTAGTTTTCCGCAAAAGCGGGTGTGGAGACTCGTCTTCCACCAGTTGTCGATCGGATCTTTCACGTTCATGTCGCATCTTGGCGCATCTTAGCCTAATTGTTGTGATAAACTTATTAAATAGTTTCTGAAGCTGTAAATGATCATGACTCATGTTCGATCAAACAGCGGGGCCGATGATCAATCAAACTCTGCCCCAAATTCCGACGCTCACTCGAACACTCCAGCTGAAGTCCAATTAGAAGTAGACGCCACGGAAAATGTCCCTATGCTCAAATTCCAAGGACAGACACCCATTCCAAAGGCTTGCAACAAACGAGGTTGCGGGGTTCCAAGTCCCATCGAACAACAAAACCCAGCTGACACCAACTTATTGCAATTAATCGAGACAACCATTAGAGCATCGATTAACGATATCATTCCAACTATGTTTGCCAAACTAAAACAGGAGATGAAAAAAGTGATTAAGGCCATGATCGATGACGCTACGAGTGATATGAAGAAACAAGTTTTCACAGAAGTCAAAAGCCAATTATGTTTACAAGAAGGATGGTGCAACCTGAAAAGTCTTTGTGAAACCGAGTTAGTAGAGAGTTACACCAAAAGGGAAAACCTGCGAATTATCGGTGTAGCCAGCGAAGCGGAAGAAGGAAACCACGAATCTAATGCTGATACTGCCAATAAAGCAGTGAACATTGCCAAAAGCATCGGTGCAAATATCACCCAACATGATATATCGATCGCGCATCGTCTGCCAGGTCGGGGAAAATTCAAACCCATCATTGTTCGTTTTGTCGGCGAAGTGCCAAGGTTGAAATTCTAAAAAATAAGCGTCAATTATACGAGAAAGAAAGCACGAAAGATATAAAGATATTCGAGGACCTCACTAAGGCGAGACTCAGCTTTCTTAAACTGATGCAAGGAGACAACCGTATTGCTTCGGCTTGGTCAAGAGAGGGCACTCTCTTCTATCAGATGAAAAATGACAATTACATAAAGAAAATAACCGGGCTCTACGAAGGCGGGGATTTGCTTAAATATTCAGTCAATGATGCTATGAGTTGCTTTACTGGTGTTTTCTATCAATCGGAGTCCCCCTCCGGAACCTAAAATTTCAATGCTACATATAAACGTTCGCTCTTTGAAAGGTCATCTAAGTGAATTGGAAGCACTAGTATACAGTCTTGAGTCTCCTCCTTCTATTTTATGTCTATCAGAAACATGGCTAACAGAAAACGATGACAGTAAATGCTATCTCAATGATGGCTATAATAAGTTTGTAAAATGTAACAGAAAAAGCCGTGGAGGTGGTGTAATGATACAAATACGTGAAGATTTCAAGCCCCTAAAACAAACTACCACGAGCATCGATGAATGCACCCTTGTTTCAATTGAAAAAAGTAACTACCAGTTTAAAATAGCCGTATTATACAACCCTCCTAGAATAAACAAATTAACATTTATTGATCAACTTGATAAATTTTTGGAAGATAACTCCTCACCCTCAATTCCCTTTGTTATCTGTGGCGATTTTAATATTGACATTTCAAAAGTTAATCAACTATCTAACAACTACCTGAATTGCATTTTTTCGAATGGGTTTGAACTTGGCGATACCAAAGGAACAAGAGTTACTGATACAACAAATACATGTCTAGATCATTTCATTTATCAAAACTTAACCGAAACAGACCACCAAGTCCTCGAATACCAAAACTTCACGGAGCATTTCCCTGTCCTCTTGCAATGGACTCTTCCATATTTAATAAATCGAGAAAAACGTTAATTTCGTGACCTACAATTTATTAAAAGCAAGCATAAATCAGATATGTATATAAACGCTTTACATCCTGAGCTAAGTGATAATATACAAATATGTCATTCTACTGATCCATCGGAATCCTTTAACAGTTTTTCTGCGGCTTTCAACAAGATTACAACATACTTTGCACCCATGAGAATAAACAGAAAACCTGATTTCCAAAAACAAAATGGTTCAACAATACGTTAAAAAATTTACGCACCAAAAGAAATAGAGCCCACCGTTTATGGAAAAGTAATCCAATAAATCAGATATTATTAGAAAATTTTAAAAACTTAAGATCTAACTTAGAAAAAGAATTTAAATCGGCGAAAAGAAAATACTATAATAAGAAATTTACAGCATGTATAGGAGACTCAAGACAAACCTATAAACTACTCAATGATTTAAATGGAAAAAATACTAAAGATGCAAGTGTTCCAGTGCTTGAATCCTGTCTGCAGCACAAGGAAGCTCCGTCAACATTTGATATTGCTGAGAGATATAATAATTTCTTCTCAGCTATAGGCACAGAGCTTAAGAAAAATTTAGATTACTTACCATTGCCATCTCTTAATCAGGCTGAGCAGTCGGTTTTCTATATCCTGTTACAGAATGTGAAGTGCAAAAAATCATCGACAATCTTGATTATAAATCTTCATCGGGAGACGACAATATAAACAACATATTATTTAAATTATCGGCACCAGCAACCATTCCTTGTTTAGCTTCTTTAATTAACAACTCCTTTATACAGGGCATTTTTCCAGATAGATTAATAAGAGCGAAAGTTATCCCTATGCATAAAAGTGGATCAAGAGTTGTAGAAAACAATTACAGACCAATATCTCTCCTAATAGTGTGGAGTAAAATCTTTGAGAGAGCCATGTACACAAGAATTTATAATTATCTAGAAAAATTCTCACTAATTTATTGTAGGCAGTTTGGTTTTCGATCAAAACACAGTACTGTCGATGCACTAGTTGATTTTACTGAAAAAATGCGTTCCCATGGCAATAAAAGCATAATTAGTTTCTTTTTTGATCTGAAAAAAGCCTTCGACACAATAGAACATAATATTCTGTTACAAAAACTCGAATCATACGTTATCAGAGTCAATTGAAAAAAGTAACTACCAGTTTAAAATAGCCGTATTATACAACCCTCCTAGAATAAACAAATTAACATTTATTGATCAACTTGATAAATTTTTGGAAGATAACTCCTCACCCTCAATTCCCTTTGTTATCTGTGGCGATTTTAATATTGACATTTCAAAAGTTAATCAACTATCTAACAACTACCTGAATTGCATTTTTTGAATGGGTTTGAACTTGGCGATACCAAAGGAACAAGAGTTACTGATACAACAAATACATGTCTAGATCATTTCATTTATCAAAACTTAACCGAAACAGACCACCAAGTCCTCGAATACCAAAACTTCTCGGATCATTTCCCTGTCCTCTTGCAATGGACTCTTCCATATTTAATAAATCGAGAAAATCGTTTATTTCGTGACCTACAATTTATTAAAAGCAAGCATAAATCAGATATGTATATAAACGCTTTACATACTGAGCTAAGTGATAATATACAAATATGTCATTCTACTGATCCATCGGAATCCTTTAACAGTTTTTCTGCGGCTTTCAACAAGATTACAACATACTTTGCACCCATGAGAATAAACAGAAAACCTGATTTCCAAAAACCAAAATGGTTCAACAATACGTTAAAAAATTTACGCACCAAAAGAAATAGAGCCCACCGTTTCTGGAAAAGTAATCCAATAAATCAGATATTATTAGAAAATTTTAAAAACTTAAGATCTAAGTTAGAAAAAGAAATTAAATCGGCGAAAAGAAAATACTATAATAAGAAATTTACAGCATGTATAGGAGACTCAAGACAAACATATAAACTACTCAATGATTTAAGTGGAAAAAATACTAAAGATGCAAGTGTTCCAGTGCTTGAATCCTGTCTGCAGCACAAGGAAGCTTCGTCAACATTTGATATTGCTGAGAGATTTAATAATTTCTTCTCAGCTATAGGCACAGAGCTTAAGAAAAATTTAGATTACTTACCATTGCCATCTCTTATCCAGGCTGAGCAGTCGGTTTTCTATATCCTGTTACAGAATGTGAAGTGCAAAAAATCATCGACAATCTTGATAATAAATCTTCATCGGGAGACGACAATATAAACAACATATTAATTAAATTATCGGCACCAGCAACCATTCCTTGTTTAGCTTCTTTAATTAACAACTCCTTTATACAGGGCATTTTTCCAGATAGATTTATAAGAGCGAAAGTTATCCCTATGCATAAAAGTGGACCAAGAGTTGTAGAAAACAATTACAGACCAATATCTCTCCTAATAGTGTGGAGTAAAATCTTTGAGAGAGCCATGTACACAAGAATTTATAATTATCTAGAAAAATTCTCACTAATTTATTGTAGGCAGTTTGGTTTTCGATCAAAACACAGTACTGTCGATGCACTAGTTGATTTTACTGAAAAAATGCGTTCCCATGGCAATAAAAGCATAATTAGTTTCTTTTTTGATCTGAAAAAAGCCTTCGACACAATAGAACATAATATTCTGTTACAAAAACTCGAATCATACGTTATCAGACGAAGTGCGCATAAATGGTTTAGATCATATCTAAATGAAAGAATTCAACGTGTAGAAATTAAGGGAATTTCTTCAAACTGGTCGACTATTAAATGTGGTGTCCCTCAAGGATCTATTTTAGGTCCGTTACTATTTCTTATATATATTAATGACCTACCTCATGCATGCAATTCAATAGAAATTGTCCTGTTTGCCGATGATACAAATGTCACAGCAATTGGTCAAATAAATCTTCGGGTTGAAGAGGACATTATCAAACTGAACTACTGGCTTAATGCAAATAAATTGATTATAAATATGGATAAAACGGTACAAATGAATTTAAAGACTTCCAATTCAATGACTTTTCTATTAAATAACTGTAACATTAAGAAAGAACCCGTGATTAATTATCTGGGTGTATACATTGACTCCAAATTATCGTTCGTTTCCCCTTATAGACAATGTAAAAATGCGATTAGCCAAGCAATCGGGCATTATTTCCAAGCTACGCTATTACGCACCTAGGCATCAGCTCTTCGAGTACTATCGTAGTAACATCACAACAACAATCCAAAATGGTATTCTGGTCTACGGTTGTTGCAGCTACTCATCTTTGCTGCCGATTTTTATGCTTCAGAAAAAGATTCTAAAATTAATATTTTTCAGAAATCGTAGGGACCACTCCGAAGACATTTTCA